ACATATCTGAGGTATTTTACCTCTGTTACACAAATACTAATAAGGTGATACAAGAATATAAATATACTATACTAAAATAAATAAGATAATACATATATAAAATACTAATATAATAATAAAATAATAATAATAAAATATATTATAATAAAAATATATATAAATATAAAAATAAAGAAATAGGGTCAACAACATCTTAGATGAGTTTAATTCCAAATCGTAGAAAAATAACTCAATAACAAAGAAGAGCTAGAGAAAAAAAAAATGAGTTCACATTAGAAATACAAAACTTAATTAAAACAAATTCACAACTAAGAAAGAGTAGTAATATCTTATCTCCAAATTGTAGAGAGATTGCTCAACAAAAAAGAAGAGCTCAAGAACGTGCAACACGTGAACCTTTAACCAAGTTAAATCCTGAACAAATAACACAATCAAAAAAGAGAGCAAGAGAACAAACTGAAACAGTACAACATAATCTAGGTGATATGAATGTTGAATGTATCTATTGTGGTGCACTTCATTGGCTTGATGAATGACTTACTTCTTCTTCTAAAATTCATCCAAAATTTGGTATATGCTGTTTACAAGGTAAAGTTGTATTATCAATTCTTCAAGATCCTCCACCTTTTTTACAACAACTTTTTGAAAATCAGGATGAATGTTCCAAAGAATTTCGACATAATATTTGACAATATAATGCAGCTCATGCTTTTACTTCTCTTGAAGTAAATATTAATAAATCTATTCTTAATGATCATGGACCATACAGTTTTCGTGTTAATGGAGAATTATGTCATTATATGGGTTCTCTTCTTCCAGAATTAAATAATAAAGCTATATATGCTCAACTTTATATTCATGATTCAGATCTAGCTCATAATATAAGAATGGAAAATAATAAAACTTTAAATGTAGATACAATGTGGAAAATACAAGAACTTTTATATGAAAATCATACCTTTTATCCTTTATATAAGCAAGCACATGAAATACTTCAACAAGCTGAAGAAAAAGGAGAAACATCAAAAGATCTAACAGCCTATCTTCATTTTAGAAAATCAACTGATAAACGTTGTTACAACCTTCCAACTGCAAATGAAATTGCTATAATTTTACCTGGTGATGGATTAGCACCTGAAGCAATGTGAAATATTATCCTTAGACTTCGTACAGGTTCACTTCAACGAATTCATGAAGGACATCCAGCATATTTACCACTTCATTACGTTTTACTTTTTACATATGGTGAACTTGGATGGCATTCTGAAATGAATCATACTTTAGTAAATTCAATGGGACAAATTTCAAATAATCAAGATGATAGTTCACGACTTACTCAAAAAGATTTTTATTCTTTTCGTCTTTTTCCACGTCACAATGAATTTTCAACTATTCTTCATGGTAAAAAATTACTTCAAGAATTTATGGTTGATGTATGGGTTGCAACTGAACAAAATAGATTAAGATTTTTAAGAATGAATCAAAATACTTTACGTGCAGATGTCTATTAAGGACTTACAGATGTAATTGGAAATATTGCAAATAATGAATTATCTCTTAATAATCTTGGACGACGAATTATTCTTCCCTCTACTCATATTGAAAGTGCATATCAAATGTTTAAAATATTTCAAGATTCAATGGCAATTACCCGATATCATCATCATCCTT